GAAAAAGTTATAGTCAATATCTCGGAAACTAAAGGAGATATCCAAAAATGGATAACTCCATTTTTAAGATATTGATTAGTTTAATCGGACTGCATCACCAACTAAATTTTTACTAAATTATCGAAAAAGTTATAGTCAATATCTCGGAAACTAAAGGAGATATCTAAACTGATAGCACCAATCGATAGATCTTATTTCAAAATGTATAACTGCATCTAGAACTAAAAAATCGTCAAAATGGCGCTTACGACAATCTTTTACCCAGGCGACGATATGTACATATATGTACATATGTTTTTGCTAACGATTCGTGGCAACGCCGTTAAATCAGCTGATACTCGGAAAGTTGATTGTTTTCTTTTGAATGCATAAATTCTTCAGTGTAGATGTAAAAAAATATGTAAAAATTTTATTCCGGTTAAAATTATTGAATTACATGAAAAAACAAATCAAAAATGCGATTGCTATTTTAATGACGAATGGATTTTAAAACAAGAATTCAAGCCATGGCTGGTATATAAAGTGTGTTCACCAATTTTTTTTTTTTTTGAAGAAACGGCCAAATTTGCCAAACCAGTTTAAGATTTTGTTGTAATTTTTTTTTTTGTTCTGGTGTGAACTATATTTTTATAGAAAATTCCTGGAAAATTTTAAATCAAAAATGTTGCATACATTGTGAAAAATTCCCTGTGCAAACAATTTAGTGCGTATGCATTTAGAAATTTATAATTTTTATTTCAATTTTAATTTATCCTTTAAGTTATTTAAAAGTAGTATCATTCAAGTTTAGTTTTATGAAAATTTGTATGTAAGAAGTTTTATATTATTTTGTTGTTTTAAATAGAAAATTTTCAAAAATACAGCATTGAAATTGATTGATGCTTAGCTTTATTCTCGAAGTACGTTGGGTATGTTTTTTTATAGAAAATTTTCCTCTAAAGCGATAATAGTTTTTGCTATCCGGTTGTACAGATCAAGTGAATGCATAAAATAGTTTTTACTGTTTAAGTTCCTTTAAACTCAGATTGTTTGTAGCCAAGAAACTCATCTTCTGTTGATTTTTGATTTTCCACTGTTGAATATAACATCGACTTACTTTGAAAATCGCTCTAAAATTTCGAGTTAAAAAAGTAGTTTCATGACTGATGGACAAATCATTACGATCACAACTTTAAACAACACATAGATTCTTGAACAGACACGCTCGGAACGTATCTGAAGACTAGCAAACATCTGTTGAATTTGCAATGTGTGGAAAACCTTTATATGTTGCACAGCAGGCCAGATTTTCAGTTAATTTACTAGAAAGGAAATTACCTTACTACATTTTCTACATTTAATGGAAAATCCCGAACATTCTAATTGCACCTTCTGTAAGGTACCTACCCTCATCAGGGTAAATCGCTTGATCTCGAACTGTCCCAAATTTCAATCTTCTTTTCGTACCCTAATACAAACAATATTGAAAAAATAATAAAATTCATAAAAGCAACTTATCTACACCAACATATTTTGAACTGCTATTATTACAAAAACATATTCTACTTAATTCAAAACCCCAGTGGAAAATTTTCCAATATTCAGATATAAAATTGTGAAAAATTTTGTAGTTCATTTTTAATAAAACAACTATTTAAAATTTGTATATAATTTAGTTTATAAACAAACAAGGAGAATACCCGGTTTATTCGATTGTAAATATCCGGTTTACTCGGTATTAAAAAAATCAATATTTCAAAATCGTCTAAAAATATTAAAAAAAAAAATATTTGAAACCGGATTGGAAAAACAGAGTCAACCACCCTATCGCACAAACCCTGAAGCTGAAAAATATTAAATACGTATACGTTTTCAGTGTTTCAAGGACTTAACAAACAAAAATGTATTCAGCGTTTTTTTGCGTTTCTCTAAAGGCTGTCTGTTACATCAATTACACAGCCCGACATGGTTTTTGGTTTTTTAATTTTTTAATTGTTAGAGCTCTATAAATCGTATTTTTAAAACATGCTTGACTTTTAAAATCTAATGAAAAATAGTCAAGCTGTCAATAAATAAGTTCACAAAGTACAAAAAAACTGATTTTTCAAAAAAAAATTTAACTATAAAACATCCATTTTCATGTTATCCTAGCCTAGCAAACCGTGTCGCACGGCCGATGCGCAGTGCGATATTATGTCACAGTAGTGTCGCTCGGCCGATACGCAAGCGATATTATGTCGCCTCAGTGTCGCTGTCGTGCAAGAGTGCACAGTTTTCATCGCTCCCTAACAATTTCCACGTACTCAGCATGTCGATGTCGCTTTCATATCGTATCGCATATCGTATCATTCTAATGTGCACCGTGCCTTAGAGTATTCACACCTTAATTGCACCAGTGGTGCGCGGGTTTGTCGAGCAGCTGAAGCTCTTCTTGTTAAAAGTGGTTATCTTTTGGTAAATGTTGCTCAAAGGTTGACTGTACCACGTTTCAATTCAAGATCTCGTCCATGGCATCTCATTGGTGTGTTTTGATAGGTTTGCAGTTTCATACACTGCAACTAATTTAGAACCAGCCGCCTATTGCCTTGTATGTTGCCCACAAGCTTTCTTTGTTATTGAGGCTCTGCACTTTATTAACAATTTCGAGAAAGGTCAAACAGGGAGATGTTTACTTTCAAACACAGGTGGCCAATGTCATGCCTTAGCAAGATCATTGAAACTCCTTTTGGTGGTTGAAGTAGTTGCGAGACGTAGAACTTAATCGCTCAAAATCGTCCGATTCAAATCATTGCAAATATTGCCTCTAACATTTTATATATTCCCAGTAAATCCACGTTTTCTATCCGATCTTACATATCGTCGTTTAAAGTACAAAACCGCGTATCAACAAAATATTTCTAGTTGCTATGGTTCTCATGTAATCCTGACAAATAGCGCGAAATAATAATTTTGCAAATTTGAAAAAAAAAAAAAAATCAGTTAGGCCAGTATTACTCCTCATAAAAAAAGCTTTCTGTCTCTCTCTATTCTGGCTACTATCTAAAAAGGGCTGACATCTAAAACGTCAATTGCTTTGCATACGTACAAAGTATAAGGTTCCATAACGTCGAACTACAAAATATTGACAATGTATACTGTTTTCAAAACACAATCAGCGCATCAGAAACAAAGTTGATGCTTCGTTTGTTATCAGTTAGCATTGGTGTTTTAGAAATGGAAAATTCAGAAAAATTGTTCATTGCTATATTGAATATTTAAAATATGCAATGTATATGGTTGCAATGTGTCGCAACTCTGCGTATACAAACAGTTTGAAAACTGCAATATAACAGTTTCCAAACATTGTATTGATACGTTTTGGAAGTCAGCCAAGCTCTTCACTGTCTTGAAAGACTAATTGAAAACTCTGCTAACGAGGAGGTCTAATATTACGTTTACATTGGACCCAAATGCGTGATTTGAAATCAGTCATTTGAAGGCGTTTACACTGCTTGATTCGCGTTTCGTTTGACTTCTCATCAATTGAAAACGGAAAAGAAAAACAAAATGAATGTAAACAAGCACTGCATGCCTTATATTTTTTAACACATTTTGGACACAAAAGAGGCACTTATTCTTTGCTTTAACTAAAAATATGCGAATTTATGCCTAAATTAACAAATTTTTATACACAAATATCAAAGATTTATTACGTTGAATTTGTTTTGATTTGAAAAATTCAAAATGTCAAAAACAAACAATAGCTTTTGGAGAGCTTTTGTTTTTGAGTATGTTCAATAAAAAATTTCAGCAATTGGAACGCATTTTCTTCGTCATTTCGTTGAAATGCGTCATTTTGGAAATACAAATTTGTATGAGGAGCATTTTTTCTAAGACCTTTGTGTTAGAATAACAAAAGTCTTTCGAATTATCTTGCCATCTGTCTTTCATTTGTCTTAAGCTGGGATCAAACGATTTTTAAATTTGTACATTTGGTAGTCACAGAGTGGTGTTGTCTAAAAATTTTGATCGAGAATGAGTTCAGCTCAATAACAACTTTCCAAACACCACTCTGTAACGGTGAAAATGGCCAAATCTGCACAAATGTACAAATCGTGTGATCCCTGCTTTAAGAAATACCATTTACAGTCTTAGCCAGAATTGCCCCGTCCATCGTTTATGAACTCATTAGTTTTGTTGTTCTAAGTTTTGTGTTTTAAAAACGTGAGTGATAAATATTTTCTCATCACTTTAAAACTCGGGGCTATGAAAATATGTGAGGAGTTTATAGTGAAGAAACCATGATAAAAATATAGTAAGGTAGAACCGCTGAGAGTTACTTTTAAAATTCTTGACGTTTCCAAACATTTTAAATTTTTAAATTTACTCACAAACTCACACACACATTTTCATTTTCAATCTCAAGCAACAACAATTTCGAACAATTTCTATTTCTTATTTTCAATTTTATATGATTTTAAAATGCTGGCAAACTTCAAAAAAAAAATCATGGCAGACAAAATGAGAGAACGGTTCTACCTTGCTATGTTTTTATCATGGAAGAAACTGTAAAAAACGTTTGCGCTCTGAGTTTTTGAAATTGGAGTGCTCTTAAAAAATATAACTCCCGGAGCTAGAGCATATTTTTTATGGCTTTACGAATTCCGTTTAAGAAGGTCAGCGACTGTTCGTAAAAACTTGCGTATTCCATCGTTAGATCTAATCTTCACATTTTTTGGCGAGTTATGGGAATATGGTAGAAATGTAGCAGCAGGGGGTCCACCGGAACCAGTCAAATTTTGTAAGTGGTCTACGAGTGGTCTGTTCTAGAGCAAAAAAAAGTATGTTATTTCGGTCAAAAGGAAAAAATGTAAAAGGTATGCATATCGAGTTTTGCAAAAAAAAGATCTGGGATACCCTAATGTACATATGTACATATACATATGTATATATATATGAACGTATGCACATTATAAACAATTTCCACATGCTGGAAAACATTTAATTTACGTGCATACATAAGTGTGTATGTATGTGTGTATGCAAAATATATTTATCGGAAATGGAGATTCGCGCATATAAATAGCTCGGCGAACTTCAAGAGAGTAGCAATAAAGCATTCGAAGTCATTTAGTGCAAATCAAGTAGAATTCCAGTTTCCTGTTTGCATTTTTTATATTTACAAACAAACACTTCAAAATGGCCAAACTCGTCCTGATTGGTGCATTTTGTATATTGAACGCCGCAGTCTCCAAAGCGGCCTTCAACAAAGAGGAGGCAATCAAGAATTTCATGACCAATGTGGAGGAATGTCGAGGAGAAGTTGGTGCCGCTGCGTGTGAGTGTGGAGTTTTACTAAAACCAAACATTGATATTGATTAGCTATCCCAATTATTTATCTACATAAAATATCCCACAGCTGATATAGAGGATTTGATAAAAAAAGCTCCTGCCGCCAGCAAAGAAGGAAAATGCCTGCGTTCTTGTATGATGAAGAAATATGGCGTGGTATGTGCCTTCGTATTTACCAACTTTTGTGACTGTTATTCTTATATGTATGAATAATAAAATTTGATTATAATTAAACTTAGATGGACGATGGTGGTAAGTTTGTGAAATCTGTCGCCTTGGAACATGCCTCGACGTTCACAGACGGCGATGCGGAAAAAATGAAGACAGCCAACGAAATTACAGACGCTTGTGCAGGCATCGCGGTACCCGATGATCATTGTGAAGCTGCAGAGATTTACGGCAAATGTTTCATGGAGCAAGCAAAAGCTCATGGTTTAGATAAATTTGAATTTTGAGAAACCGCCTGTCAGAACTAAAAACAACAAGTTTTAAGTTACTTGTAATTAGTTGACCGACTTTAACTGCTATTTAAATCGTAAATTTGTTCTGCTTTTTTATTTTGATTTGTTAGTTCATTAAAGCAATTGAATGTATATATGAATATATGTATGTTCATACATATAAACGAATGTTTTTAATTAATATTTTTGATCCTTACTGTGGTTCTTAGACTTTAAAAATTTACTTATTTTACAAAAGTGGCAACATTTATAACAAATGAAAAGAGCACATATGAAAACTTTAATTTCATGAATAATCTGCGTCTTTGACTCTTACTTTAGAAAAGTTCTATGTGAGTCAATTAAAAATTGCAGTTACATGGTTATTATTTCACTCAAGATAAAACAATTCAGCGTAAGCTTTGAGGCTTTATTTAAATTCGGGCTAGTGCCATTATTAGTGATTGTGGTTGCAAATTAAGAAATAATGTAAACCGGGTTCAAACAATTTTTGTATAAGCTCAATAAAAATACCCTACAAAAATATTAAGCGGAAAATTCTATTGGAATTCACATGAAACTAAAATTCGATGATTAACCCTCAACTGCCTTATTTTTCTATCTTCAAAAAATAATGTAAGACGAATAGCCTTATTACCTATCTCGAACGATAGGCCGCAAAGGTGTAAAGCTAACATGTACCTTTAATAGATTTGTGTGTTTAATTTGTCATCTCCTCTTTTTGCTAACAGTAGAAGGCGCAAAAGTCAGAAAATTTCTGAGGTACAACTTTTGAACGGAAAAGCAACATTTACTGTGTTACAAAACAAAAATTGTTAAAAATTCATTTTTTAGTTTATTACTTTGAAACTTAATAGTTTTATTTACTATTACACGTACAAAAATCAGAAATGATTTTTGGTAAATATTTTGTATGGAAAAGTTGTTTGTGCCATCGGGAACTTTTGATATATTTTTATTGGAATTCCCAAAATTGCTAAAGTTCGGTAGAGTGAAATAAAAAAACTTTAAGAACACATTTTGAAATGCTTTAATAGAATCTGTGAAGAAGTTTTAGATTTCCCTGCCGAAAATATAAAAATTATATGCATTTTTTAAGCCATATTTCATAAGTTGCAGAAAAATTAAAAAAAATAATTTAAGGTATTAAAGTTTTCTTTTTAATACCATAAAAAATGAATCTAGTTTTGATGTATGTAGTGTATAATTTTTATAACGTATCGACCAGAAATAACAGAAAAAAATGGAAGTAATAATATTTTTTTTTTTGGCGGAATCCCTAAAATTTTATAAAGTTTTGACAAAATTAAACAAAATATATGTATATGAAAAATAGGTTATTTTTAAATTTAATTAAAATGTTAATTTAAATATTTTTTTAAGACATCTAACAATTGGTAAAAAAACTAAATTTTCTGCCGGAAAATGGAAATTTAGTATTTGTTTAAAACATCTTATTTTTTTTAATTTTATAAAGACAAAAAATATTAACTAACATATAAAATTCTCGTATCACAAAACAAAAAAAGAATTCAAAATGCAATAACAGGAATTAATAGAAGTCTTATTGACGGTCTTGGCATAATATTAAGAGTTTTATCCTGTGGAATCCCGGTTAATGTTACAAAGTTTAAGGAGCTGCAAAATATTACAAGAAACTCATATCTCTTTATATAAATACGCCACAAGAAAATTTTGCAATCCCTTTTTTCAAGGCAAGGCTTATCTCTGGAACCGCCTATGCTCACGTCCTGAAATTTGACACAACTATTTATGATATCAATAACATACTTACGATGAAGTGTGGTAGATTTGGGAAAGGGGGGCGTGGCACCCCTTTTTCTTTTCCTTTTTTCTCGAATTTTTTATAAAAACATAGTTCATACTACAACAAAAACATAAAAATTTATCTAAACTTCGTGCAAAACTCAGGAAAATACATTAAATTTGCCTACAAGTTGACACTGCCAGTTTGAAATAGGTAAAAATCGTGTTGATTTTTGGCAGTTTCTTCAAAACAAAAAAATGTCGAACATACTTTGTGTACTCATTTTGTTTAAGCAGCCACGGCTTGAATTCTTTGTTTAAAATGAATTCGTAACTAAAATTTTTGACTTAATTGTCGATTAAATAGCATATGTAAAATATACATATGTATATGAATGTATGTACACTAGGCTGGGCCAATGTTTATTTTAATAATAATAATTCTAGGAGAGAGTATAGAAGAAACCATGGCTCGGAAATTAGTTTCGAGCCAGCGCATTATTAAATAAAAAAATTACCTTTCAACAATATTATTTTTTTAACCTTTTCTTAAAACTTTTGCATATAAAATGTCTGTATTTAAATTTCTTACATTTCGTTTTTTGTATAAACCATTTTTAAAAAGCAAATCGTTACCCAAAGGTGAAAATGTGCCAAGTCCATTTTGTGAAGTTGTTCACGAGAGACGAAAAATCGATATAGTTTCGCATTATCTGTCATTCTGCATCAAAAACTAAGTTTTTAATAAAGTGGACTTGGCACCTTTTCACCTTTAGGTAGAGAAATACATCTGTTTTGTTAATTTTTAACTTAAAAGTTTAACAAACATTGAAAAGAAACGGTTTTTGTATTTTACCAACAAAAACTTGATAGGAAGGCGTCTAGGACTTACCGTTGATTTTTGCCAATTTTTTTACTAACAGTGCCTCTTCCATAACAAAAATGACTTTTTTTCAATAAAAAATTATAAAAATCGACGGTAAATCTTAGCTATTGCACTTTATTTTAATAAAATTTAATGCATGGATTTCAATGCAGTTTTCACCGATGTATTGCTAGAGGTCTAACTTAAAATATAGGATGAAAAAATTAGAGAGTTTCCACCTGTTTGAAAATTGGAGTTTAAGTAAATTGATAAAAAAAGTGAATATTGCAATACTGGCGTCAAAAGAAAGAGGCTTAAGAAGGTTTACAGTCAAAAATATTTTTTTAGAGTTGCCACCTGTTTGAAAATTGGAGTTTAAGTAAATTGATAAAAAAAGTGAATATTGCAATACTGGCGTCAAAAGAAAGAGGCTTAAGAAGGTTTACAGTCAAAAATATTTTTTTAGAGTTGCCACCTGTTTGAAAAATTATATTGTATTAAATTGATAAAATAAATGAAATCTATATCTAAATAAATAAAATTGTAACTGGTCGATGTCTGTACCTTATCGATATTAAAGAAAAATGAATATGGTGGGTTGTTATTAAAGCTACAGAAGCCAAATAAACAATTTTTAGAATTTTTGGATCTCTGTCTGTCTGTATATTTGTACGCGCATCAGTCGAAAACATGGAATTGAATGCAGTTTTCACCGATGCATCGCTAGAGATCTAGCTTCCAATATAGAAGAAAAAATTAGAGAGTTGCCACCTGTGGTTAAAATTTCAGTTTAGATCAATAGATACGGTAAAGTGAATACTGCAATATGGCTGTCATAAGAAAGAAATTTACAAAGGCTTATGCTGAAAATATTTTTGTGTAAGATTACCACCTATTTGAAAACTTTAATTTAATTTAATTGATAGCATAAATTAAATATTGCAATATTGGTATCAAACTAAAGAGGCTAGGAAATTTTAATGCTGAAAATATTTTTAGGGGATTTGCCAACTGATTGAAAAATTGTATTCATTAAAATTTTTAAAATAAATGAAATATTGCAATACGAATATTAAACTAAAGAGGATTAGGAAGCTTACTTTTGAAAATATTCCTGAAGCGGGTTGCCACTTATTTGAAAACTTTAATTCAGTTAAATTTATAATATAACCTAAATGTTGCCATATGGTCGATATACGAGAGTATTTGAGAATAATAAAATTGCAACAGGGCGATATGTATATATATACGAAATTAATAAGGGGTTTATTAGATCAACAGAAGCCAAATTTAAAATTTTTATAATTTTGGTCTGTTTGTCTGTATGTTTGTAAGCGCATCACGCAAAAGCTAATGTATGGAATTAAATGCAGTTTTCACTGATGTACATATTGCTAGAGCTCTAATTGAAAATATAGAATCCATTTTTTTTTAGTTTATCGTCGATCATAATTCCTAGGTATTTGAACGTATTAACTTTTTCCAGTGCGTTGTCGTTTATATTTAGAGTTAGCAACGGACCGTTCTCAAAATTTCGCCTTGATATAACCACAGACTTAATTTTATTGACATTCAATTAAGTGTGTTCAAGCATAACCAATCGCACTTTTTTGGAACTTCTGTGTGGAAGGTTTTTCGCTGAAAAAATTAAAACTTTTCGTTTTTGCTGCCAAAAAATTAAGAAATCTGAGACGTCACGCTTTACAATTTCATACTGTTCTCTTTACAAAGTATTTCACTAACTAAACGGCTGCACCGACTTGGTTCATATTTGGCAACACTTTGAAAATAAATATTCTGACCAAAAATTTATTCGGTATGTAGCTCGGGATATTCCTAAAATTCTTTTATACAGACTAAAACGTAAAAAACCAGTATATCTCTAAAACCAATTACGCTGGGGAACTGAAACTTAGCACTGATGCATATATTGCAAATGAATTAGGAAAGGGGGCGTGGCTCCTTCCTTCCATACAAACTGAACTTTTCATATAGCTTATCTCTGGAACTGCTTACGCTAACGTCCTGAAATTTGACACAGATACATATGTTATCAATACCGTACTTATGCGAACAGTTGTAATTATTGGAAAGGCTGGATCGATATACATTTACGTAAACGCGCAAGTATCATTCGATCGGGAACCATTTTCTCCTAGATTTCTAAATCCCATTGAACTATTGTAACTTTGTCTTTAATTTTTGTAAGGTAAAATTTATGTGAAAATTTTGAACAATTTTCTTAAATTTTTGACAAAGAATGGAGCTATAGACTGTCCTACATACCTATTTGCATAAAAAGATAGCCGTTTTCGTTGTTCGGAATAAACCCAAAAACCACTGAATAGAGTTCCGTCAGATTGGCAGATGNTTTTTAGTTAGGTAAAATTTATGTGAAAATTTTGAAGAATTTTTTTAAAGTTTTCACAAAGAATGGAGCTTTGCTTTTACGAGTTTCGCTATAGACTGTCCTATCTACATACCTATTTGCATAAAATGATAGCCGTTTTCGTTGTTCGGAATAAACTCAAA